GCCGCGTGTGGCCTGGCCCGGGATCGGAAGTGCCACGCGGAGCCGGGACAGGGGCTCCAGGCACATGGGGCTGGGGTCCCCTCAAACACCTCTGCCGGAGTGACAGCTCGAATCGTCTCTCCTAGACCCCAGCACCCCCCTTGCTCTGCAGCAGGGTCCGCTCTCCATCCCGCACTCGGTGGCTGTTGCGAAGTTCACTGGTCAAAGGTATGGCCAGCTGCATTTGGGAGGGAGACTGTGAGCCTTAGGAAGAGAGGGCTCCTGCCTCTCTCTCTCTCATGGTGATCTCCATGTCCCCACTAACCACTGACCCCTCGGATCTATCCATTTTGCAGACTATAGCTCCCCCGGGTTCCAGGGTGCAATGAATAGCCGGCATCCTAGTCAAGGGCAAGATTGAGTTGAGAGCCCTTACTTTCCAGCCAGCTAGCTCTGATTGAAACCCTAGGTCTGAGCCTCAGTTTCTTCTACTGTAAAATGGGTGTGAACTATACCACATAGTAAACCAAACCAAAAAACCAAACTTATTGTTGTGGAGTTGATTCTGACTCATGGATTGGATTGAATTATGTCCCCCAAAAAATGTATGTATCAATTTGGCTGGCCCATGATTCCTGGTACTGTGTAATTTTCCCGTGTGTTGTAAATCCTGCCTCTATGATGTTAATGAGGGAGGATGGGCGGCTGTTGTGTCTGTGTAGCGGGACTCAATCTGCAAAATTGGATTGTGTCCTGAGGCAATCTCTTGAGATATAAAAGAGAGAGGTGAGCAAAGAGACGGGGCCTCATACCACCAAGAAAGCAGTTCCGGGAGCAGTGCTTGTCCTTTGGACCCGGGGTCCCTGTATGAAGAAGCTCCTAGTCCAGGGGAAGATTGATGAGAAGGCCAATAAGAGAGAGAAAGCCTTCCCCTGGAGCTGACGTCCTGAACTTGGGCTTTTAGCCTCCTTTACTGTGAGGAAATAAACTTCTCTTTGTTAAAGCCACCCACTTGTGGTATTGCTATTGTAGCAGCACTAGATGACTAAGACAGTAACCGCATGTGTTACAGAGTAGAACTGTTCCATAGGGTTTTCTTGGTTACGATCTTAACAAATGCAGATTGCCAGGCCTTTCTTCTGTGGTGCCACTAGGTGAGTTCAAACTGCCAGTCTTTAGATTAGCAGTCAAGTTCAAACCATTGGCGCCACCCAGGGACCTATAGCACACAGGAGGTGCTCAATAAATAACTGTCCACTTCCACTCCTGGCACCAGAAGCACTTGCCACAGCCCAAGGTGGGAAGAACCAAGAGGCGGGGAGAGGAGAATGGATGCTGAGATGGTATAATCCCTCATCACAATAGTGTTGAGACCGGCTCAGTAGTCAGGGTGACCAGCCCAGGCCCACAGAGAGTCAGTGCATCTTGCTTTACTCTGTAAACGTGTCCCTCACAATCTGTAAGCCAATGCTGTTTCAAGCAATCAAGAAGTGGGAATTGGAAAAAGGAGATTTTCTTTTTTTTTTTTTTAAAGAACTTTGGAATAAAGAATCTTTGTGTGAAGTACATAAAGCAGCCCCCTAATCTTTCTGGTTTTGAGTTAAGCCATTTTGTTGTGGGACTTCCTTAAAGGGAAGCTGACTTGTGGGTTGAAATTCTCTGACCAGACTTCCCTTGGGAATCCGAAGCCCTGAGAGAAGACTCAGTTTCCTGCATGCTTCTTCCCATATGAGCTCTTCCAGTGTTACACCCTTGCTGGGCTCCAAAGGTGTTCATTTGTCTGCCTTCTCCCCTTGTGGGCAGAGAGATGGGTTCTTCATCTCTGTGGCCCCAGCACCTGGCTCAGGGCCACCTGAGAGGCAGGCTTGTACGATGCAGGAAATGGTGCCGAGGTTCTGGAGGGCCAGTGCCTTTATGAAGCAGGTTCAGAAGGCTGAAGTGATGTGTCCCAGGCCACACAACCGTTAGTAGCAGAGCTAGAAGCAGAACCCAGGGTGAAGTGCTGAGAAGTAGAGAGACAACATTGAGAGTCTGGAGACTGTTCCAAACTGCACTTTGCCAAGTATGGGCCATGTGACCAAGGGCAAGTCATTTACCTCTGTGAGTTTCAGTACCTCACCTGTCAAAGGGGAATCATGAGGATCAGGGAGACAGGGGCATAAACTCTAAAGTCCTGTGGAGTTGCAAAGTTTATTACATCCAAGCAACATCAGAGCACCCAGTTGTTTGGAAATGACACCACCAAACTGATGTGTATTAAATTCGGGAAGAGTAGAGTTTGTCTTTCTCCTCTTTCTGGTCCTTTAAAAACCAGTTGCCATCAAGTCAATTAGATTTCCACTCATGACAATCCCATGTGTGTCAGAGTAGTAGAACTGTGCTCCACAGGGTTTTCAATGGCTGATTTTTTTTTTTTTTTTTTGTAAGTAGATCACCAGGCCTTTCTTCCAAGGCAGCTCTGGGTAGACTTAAACCTCCAACCTTTTGGTTAGCAGCCAAGTGTGTTAACCATTTGTACCACTCAGGGACTCCTCTGGTCCTTTAAGATCCCTGAAGCCAAGAGCCAGACTGTGGGTTTTGTGTGTGAGGGCTGATGGAGCCAGAATGTGAGGGGATGTGTATGTGAGAGAGGGAGAGATGGAGTTTGGAGGAGAAGGTGTGAGATAAGCAGGCTGGAGCTGTTTGGGTCTAGCCCTCTTCCTCAAACCTGCTAAATGACCTAGAGTACAATGGCTTCCCTTCTCAGGGTCTCAGTTTTCCCAGCTGCAGAGTGGGGACCCATTAGGGACAGGAGGGAAAAGTTATGGCAGGAAGATGGCCCATTTTCTCCCTGCTATGGGACCACCCCAGGAAAGCTCACCTAGAAACTCAGGGCCCGAGCCTCCCTCCCCTCTCCCGCCTCCTCCTTCCTGCCTCAGACAGGGCAAGTCAAGGGCGACCCATTCGAGCTGAGACCCTAGGAGCCGTGGGCTGGGGCTTTCTATGGAGCCAGCCATTGGCAAGCAGAGAGCAAAACCTCTCCCTGGTTCTCTACCCCCTCCCCCCTTCCCCAGCGCTACAATGCTTGCTTTTGTTGGCAAGTATCGTGTGTCCAAGCCCTTTCCCACTGAGGAAGCCTTTGTTTGGAAGAGAGGATGCAGGAGCACAGCTCAGAGTCTGGGGCAGAAGGTGGGGAATGACTGGGTAGCCCCATTTCTGGAGATGAACTGGGCCAAAGCAAAGAAACTCACAGGTGTCAGCTTGGGACCCTCCTAGGAAGGCAAGCTCTGGGCTTCCCAGTCTCATCTTGGGAGCTGTCACAGGGGAGAATGGGTTAGGTATTTCTCTTGCAAACAGTCCCCCCAACACCTCTCCAATCTCCTTCAGTTCAAGGCGCTGGGAGGGGTGGGGAGAGGATGCAAGAAGTTTGCAGGGCATGGAGCCAGCAGCCAATGGGAAGCCCAGACACATGCATGAGAAAGCTTAAAGGCCAGGTAAGACTGGAAAGAGAAATGTGCTCTGGATGAAGGAGCTGGGGCACCAGTGAGGACACAGGGTTGTGGGGAAGGAGGGGGTCCAGGGGGAGGGGGAGGGAAAGAAGCACTGCTGGTGGAGGAAATACTTGAAATACAGTTCAAATTGTGTCGCCCTCTCTGCTATCAAACCTCAAGTCTTCCTACTGCTTTTGGGATAAATATCAGATTCCCTAACTTGGCCTACCAGGCTCTACATGGGGTGGTCCTGCCAACCCTCCTTCCTCCACATCCGCTACACTCACTGCCATCCAGCCTAGCTCCTTGGACTCACCATGCTCATCTTGCCTCAAGCCCTTTGCACAGGCTGTTCCCTCTGCCCCAAAACTTCTACCCTTCCTCTCCACCCTGCTCATCCTTCAGATGTCCTCAGTCACCTCCTGAAGCCTGTCCTGGCCTCCCAATTACATCAATCCCCCTGTTGTACTATCTCCACCTCCTTCCCAGCCTCCTCACTGTTTCACTTGATTGTGTTCCATTCTTGATTAACATCTGCTTCTTCCCAGACTGTGAGCTCCACAGGGTTTTTTTTTTTTTTTTTTTTTTGGCCGCTGTATCCCCAGTGCCCTCAATAAATATTAGTTAAATTAATAGTCAAATGAGTGGGAGTTGGGGAAGGCATAATTCATGGAAATTTTGGGAAGTTACACATTTTCCATAATAATCATTCCAGGGGAAAATGTGAGACACAACTTTGGAGTCCTGAGTCCACCAACCACATGAAGGTCACCAGGCTGCACAGTGGGAGTGGGAAGGAAGAGTTGTCTTTCTGTTTCCCCAAGCCTTGAAAACATAATAACAACAACAGCAAAGAACTTCATAGCTATAGGGTCACTCTGAGTCGGAATTGACTCTATGGCAATGGGTTTGGTTTGGTTTTTGGTTTTTGTTGGCCAGGCATTTTACATATTTATTTGAATTACCACAACGGCTTTGCAAGGTCAGTGTCATTATCCCCACTTACAGATGAGGCGATACCAGCTAGTAAATGTCAGAGCCATAGTCAAACCAGAGTCTGATTCCAACCCACAAGCTTCCAGGCAGATTGTGATGACTGGGAGAGATTTCCCAGGCCCACCCCACCTTGGAGCTCTGCAAAGCAACAGGGGAGGAAATCAAACAAAACCAAACCCGTTGCCATCAAGTCAATTCCGACTCATAGTGACCCTATAGGGCAGAGTAGAGCGGCCCCATAGGGTTTCCAAGGAACACCTGGTGGATTCAAACTGCCAACCTTTTAGTTAGCAGCCATAGCACTTAACCACTAGACCACCATGGTTTCCAGTGGGGGAGGAGGGGTGCAAAGACTCTAAACGGAGCAGATAAGGGGCTGACTGCAATCACGCAGGGGGGCGGCTGGTGGAGGAGCAGATAATTTACGGGCTCATCCATCCTTACAGATCACCTAGTTCATTTTGTTTTCTTTTTTTAAAAATTGTGATGAAAATATACACACTAAAACATCTGTCAGCACAACTTCCACATTTACAATTCAGTGACATCGATTATACTTTCCATGTTGTGCCACCATTATCACTATCCTTTTCCAAAATATCCCACCCCCATTAACATAAACTCAATGCTTCCCAAACAAAAACTCCCACTCTCCATCTCCCTCCCACCTCTGGTAACCATTAATAACCTTTGATTTCTAGATACTTTCATATAAACAAGATAGATTATACAGTATTTGGTCTAATGGAACTGACTTATTTTGCTCAGCATAATGTTTTCAGGGTTCATCCACGTTGTGTTATGCATCGGGACTTCATTTCTCTTTACAGCTGCATAATATTCCATTGTATGGATAGATCACATTTTGTTCATCCCTTTGTCTGTCGATAGACATATCGGTTGTTTACACCTTTTGACTATCGCCTTTTTTAAACTTGTTGTTGTGAAAAATAATACATACAGAGAAGTGTCTTTTGCTCATTTTACAGAGGGGCAAACTGAGGTCCAGAGAGTAGAGATAACTTCCCCAAGGTCACACACTGAGGTTGTTCTGGGGCAGGATTACACCTCAGGTCTCCTGACTCCCATCCAGTGATCTTGAAACATGGAGGCTCTTTGTTTCTCCCACCCAAGACCTCGGGGCCCTCTGACCATTCATCTTCGTACACATCTCAGCCCAGAAGGAAGAGGAGGAAAACTCTGGATCTCTTCCTCCAGCCTCCTGAGAGCCACAGTCCTTCTAAGAAGTTCAAGGCCAACATGTAACCAGTTGCCATGGATTTGATTCTAACTCATGACAACCCCACGTGTGTCAGAGTAGACCTGTGCTCCACAAGGTGTTCAATGGCTGATTTTTTGGAAGTAGATCACTCTTCCTTTCTTCCAAGGTGCCGCTGGGGGGCTAGAACCTCCAAACTTTAGGTTAGCAGCTAAATCTGTTAACTGTTTACACTAGCCGGGGACTCCAGTTCAAGGGCCATGCTTCTCAAATTGGGATCTCCCCACCACCTCCAGCACCACTATCAATCTCACTTGAGTATTTGTAAGAAATGCAGATCCTCAGGCCCCACCCCAACCTAGGGAATCAGAAACTCAGGGGGGATGGGGCCCAGCAATCTGTGTTTTTAAAGCCTTCCAGGGGATTCTGATGCTCACTCGAATTTAAGAATCACCATTCTAAGCAAAACCTTGAAAACTGGGGCCAAATTAGGTCAGGGAACGAGCTCACTAACTGAGGCTCTGTGGTCTGCCCCTCATTAAAGGCTGTGGCCCTTAACCTCCCATCCCCAGTCTCTGATCCCTGGGCTGGAGCCGGACCTGAGCTCCAGGGGCCTGAGCAGGGTTCCAGGGGCTTCCAGATGAACCAGAGACCAGGCCTCGGGGCCTCTCTCTACATCACCCTTTTGCTTTCTCTCCCCAGGGTTCCCTCTGCACAGCTTTTGGCAAGTGTCTCATGGCCGTATCTAGGAAACCCAGAGGGTTAAGTTAACCACAGTGATTTGTCATCCATTACAGAACAGCCGATACCCCCGAGACGGGCTGAACCATGAGATCAGTTAGAAACAATGCTGTTTGTGCCCTGTGTGTAGATGTGTGGTTGTGGTTGCTGTGTGTTGAGGGGCGCAGGGAGAGGAGGGCTCCTTGTTCTTGAAATAAGGCTGCCAAAAAGGCCAGCTGTCCTTCTGAGAGCTCTGTTTCGGTCATTTCCTCTCCCCAAACTGTAGTTCTATAATTGTAACATCAGCATCCTTGTAACCAAAGTCCTGTGCAGCCCCTGGCACTGGGGTTCAAGAGAGGTAAGGCACAAAGCAAATATCCCCCTCCCCCATTTCCTGGAGCCCCCTGGATGTGATAAAAGGACTCAGATTTGGCAAGGCCTGTCTCACAAGCTTTTTTCCAATATTGGTGCCCCCTTAGATGTCATGAGTGATATCCTGCAGCAAAGAGGGGCTTGGCCTCCATGCTCTTCCCTTCTCTAGATTAGTTATATGCTTTTGGTTAAATGTAACAACAGTAACTAATTAAATATGGCTTAACTTATTATCTCACATAACAAGAAATTCTGAAGCAGGCATGTTCCAGACAGACCAGGTTTGGCAGCCCACAGAATCATCAAGCCCCCAGTTCCTTCTTTTTTCCACTCAGCCATGCTTGGTGGTTAGTCTTGTCCTTAGGCTTGTCTCCTCTTATTCACAAGATGGCTGCATCAGCTCCAGGCATCACATGTTCACTCACTGTGACCAGAGGCAAGGGAAGAAAGGGTTCTTTCTTGTTCTCCTCCCTTTTTAAAAGACATTATTATAAAAATTTTCAAACATACACAAAAAAAGACAGAATAGTATGAAAATCTTCCATTTACCCATCATCCAGCTTCAATAATTATCATCACAAGGCCAGCCTTATTTCACCTTTACCCCTCTCCCCTCTACACCCTGGATTATTTGAAAGCAAATCTCAGACATCATCTCCCACTCAGTATCAATAGCTAATAGATAAGAGCTCTCTCTTTAAAAAACAAAACAAAACAAAACAAAACAAAGCCACAATGTCTTTGTCACATCTAACAAAATTAACCCCTTAAAATCATCTCATGCCCAATCGTTCAAATTTTCTCAACTGTTGCAAAAATGTGTTTTGTGGTTTTTATTTATTTTTTATCGTGGTAAATATATAGGTAACAAAACACTTGCCATTACAACCATCTTCACATGCATAATTCAGTTGCATTAACTATGTTCATCACATTGTTCAACCAACATCATTCCTGAATTTTTCCATCACCCTTAACAGAAGCTGGGTCCCCCTAGGCTTTGCACCTTCCTTTTCCCCTCCCTGCCACCCACTCCTCGTAACCATTAATAAACTTTGGTCTCTATATACTTGCCTATTCTAGATATTTCGTATAAGTGGGATCATACAATATTTGTCCTTTTGTGACTGACTTATTTCACTCAGCATAATGTTTTTAATTTCTATCCATGTTGTAGCATGTATCAGGCCTTCATTTTTGTTTTGTTTTGTTGTTAAGACTTGGTTTGTTCAAATAAGGATCCAAACAAAGTCCACACATTGCATTTGGTTGATGTATCTCAGGAGGCAGGTGGGCAAACTACACGTGGTGCCAAAGCCAGCCCGCTGCCTGTTTTTGTGAATAAACTTCATTGGAACCCAGCCAGATCCATCTGTTTACTTATTGTCAACAGCTCATTTCCTGCTACAAAGGCAGAGTTGAGTAGTTGCCAGAGACAGTATGGCCTGCAAAGCCTAAAATGTTTACTATGTGACCCTTTACAGAAGAAGTTTACTGACCCTAATCTAAACAGTTTCCCCTTCCCTTTTTTTTTTTTTTTTGGTTGAAGAAACCTGGACATTTTTCCTGTAGAATTTCGTATATTCTTCTGCCCCTTTTGAAGAGCAAGGTAAAAGCCTTCCAGAAACCCTTGCAGCAGACTTTTTCCTTAGCCAGTCACTGACGAGGGCTGAGCCCCGCTCCTCGGAAGCACGTGGCTGCTTGTAAGATGCACAAAATCAGGTTTCTATCAGAAAGGAGGAAGGGGAGTGAATGGTTATTAGGCAGGAAACCAAGGATGATTCCAACCTTCCAAAATGGACCAACTCAGCAAAATGGCGGAGCTGATCGAGTCTCCCTCAGCTAGCTCTAACCACTCAAGGCTCCTCCTTCATCCACCAGGACACAGATTCTCCCGCTCCGTCTTCCAACGTGTGTTCAACATTTAACAAGCACTTAGTGGGCACGTCCCTCTCCTAGCTCTGTGCTGGACACCCTGGGAAAGGGGTGACCGTGACAGACTGGTCCACAGGTTCTGA